TTTTGTTATCTTAGTCAATGCGTGGGGAAGATTGAATTCTTTCTACTTTAAGAGACCTGGATTTGATCATAAGGTTTCCTGAAGAGGTTTGTGAATAATAAATTCATTTGTAAAATGAATAATTTCACACAGTAAAATTGCAATGGATAATGAATCTAACTCTCTTAAACATATTTAGTCCCTCTGCAACCAAATGGCATTTGAGTTAGAGAAAATTTGGTCTGGGAATGATTTTCCATGGACCTTGGTCTTTTCAGGAGCAAGATTGAACTGACACTACCTAGGCTGTTACTGAAGATATTTCTCTACTCTGGTCTTAAAAGCAGTTTCCCTGAACAACCTGATCCAGGGTTTTACAATCTTCAGTGTTAGGCTTTTCTTAATCAAAATTTAACTAAACATACTCTAAAATAAAACTAATAATTTCTTGTCCTCTTTCCCTGGCATATCAAGAACATTTTTTCTCTCCCCTTGTAGCAAGAATCTTTTATAGAGGGGAAGACACCTCTTTTAACATACTTCACTAAATCAGTTCCTTCATTGTTTTCTGCTTTCTGAACTGCTCCTCTGGCTGCCCTGGAAACATTCCACATTTAGCTGGACCTTTCTCAAAGTGTTTTGCTTACTTTGCACTTTAATCCACTGTCACAAAATATCCTCAACTCCTTCTTCCCTAGCATTGTCCCCAAATTTTTAACCTCACTCTCAACTTCTCATTAATGAAAATACAGGCTAATTCCAAGATCTCTCTTGACATCTCCTCACTGACATATGCTGATAACTCTTTCTTGTACAGTTGTTTCGTGTCAGTCTCCAGTCATTCCTTGTGGATGAGAATGCAATTTAAAAGTAGACAAGATTCATCCCTCAAAATCTTACATGAAGCTGTGACCTTGATGTATTTTCAGGAATGTCCATTGTGTTATATATCTCCTGAGGGATTTGAATTATTTTTCACTTTCTTTCTTTTATATACTGCTGCATTACTTGACATTACTAGGGCAAGGGGCACCAAAGAAATAAAGAGGAATTTTATTTCAAAGAGAAAAAAAAATTACACAGCAGTACTGTGTTCTGGGATTTGGGACTGCTGGACTTCAGGGCTGAGGGAATCACACAGCCAAGGGGATGAGATGTCAAGGGGGGATCATCCCTTCTATCACCCCTAATGCAACAGCCCAGGTGCTGGCAGTGTGTGAGAAAAAGGACTACAGAAAGTGCTTAGATTTATGTTTTACTCCTGTAACAACATCTCTCTCATCCACTGGGAGATGCACTGGGCAGGAAGGCAGTTGCTGTGCCCCAGAATGAGTTTTTTAATAGCCTCCTTAAGAAGTCCTTATCAATAGGACTGATGGAGGGAAGTTCCAGCAGGTAACTCATCCCTGTCAATATATGTCATAATTGTGGGTGACAGCACGGAGTTGGCCTCAATTTGGATCCCAGGTGCCAGCTGTGCAACCAAAAAAATATGTATCCTATCTGCTGATGGGACAGATAAATAATTCACAATGAAGTTGTGTGACATTGCTAAGTTGGATTTCATCAATCTTAGAGGTATTTTCCAACCAAAATAATTCTGTGATCTCCCCCTTTTAAAATTAAAATCCCTACTCTCCATCTGGGGGAAGACTCTTAGAAGTTCTGGGGTGTCCTTCAGCTCTGCTGAGGAGCCACCCCCATGAGGAGGCCATATGGTGTATTGCAGAGCTTCTGCAAATGAGGGCTGGAAAGGGGACATTTGGGACAGGCATATTGAGTGGGAGTTGTCCAGACAACACTGCTGACCTTGTGACAATGGTAAAAGCCTGTTCTGGAGCCAGAACTTTGGCTGGGATTACAGCTGAAGGATAATTTCTCAGCAGTCTTCCAAGTGCTTCTAGAGGTCACAGTGTTGTGTTACGATGCAGTCGCCTGCCTTCATGTTTTCTCTCCAAGGCTCAGGAGGAGGGCATTTCTCTGAGTTGCTGGAATTGTGCTGGACCAGGGCCAAAACAAATGAGATTGAACTTAACCCACCAGTGGGGAGCCTGGTGAGATCACAACTGTAGGCTCTGGAAGCTGATGTTCAGGGCTGCTTCTGTGGGTAAACTCTGGTCTTTGGAGTTCTTTGTCTTCCCTCACTGGCTGAGAAACAACCTGCTTCATCTTGTTTAATGAAAAATGAATCTAACTCATATCCAGGCCTATGCTTTAAAACAGAAAACAAAATCTCTGCTTACTGGCATTGTCAGGAAATTTTTCTAAAAGCGTATTTAGGTTTACGATGGGGTCAAAACTTTGTTTTGGCTATTCAACCCAGCCAATCTGAATGTCCCTATTTCCTGATACCAAACTGAGGGAAGTTTGAGGATTTATTTAATACAATTTTTCTTTTTTCCTTTCTTTGTTTCAGACTTTGGGCAATGGGAAAGGTATATGGGAAGGCATATCTTCTACTGGAGTCCCTTTTTTTCCTTTCTTCTTTTTCCTTTCTTTTTTTTTTTTCCTTTTTTTTTTTTGAAAACCACAGGAGTGGATGGAGGGAAAGAGAGAATCCCAGGTCCCAGTACATCAGGTAGAAGAGTTTTGCTTTCTATTTTAATGGGGTAAATATCACTGCTGTGTGCTTTGTATGTTTGGGGAGTGAATGTCCTCAGTGGTGAGCTGGAGTCAGAGTGGACCCGTATTCCTTTTCTTGGCATTTTAGTGAGCTCCCAGCATGAAGTGACGTGGATGCACTGTGCATCCCTTGCCAGGCTTCTGCAGATTCCTCATCCTCCCTAGGTGAACCTCCAGGAAGCAACATTTCCATCCACTAGCAAAGCTGAGTGAGGTTGACAAATACCCTCCCCTCTTCTAATGTCAACACACCTATATTTGAACCTTTGCTCTGAATACTTGAAGCATTTATTAATACATTTATGAGGAGCTGTCTGGAGATTTCTTGTGGAGGGGCCCCAGTTCACAGGGGCACTAACAAGGCCTTTGGTTCAGCGTTGGGCAAACACATTCAGTGTGGCTGCACACTTCAGCTTTGGTAGAGGCTTTAAAAGGTTTTTAAATATTTACACACACTCCTGAATGAGAGTGAGTTTGGGGGCCTTTAAACACTGAACCTGTAGAGGAATGCGAATCAGAATAACAAACAGGAGGCAGAAAAACTTGAAGAAGAGCAAGAACAAAATCTCAACGCTTCACTAATCTCATAACTTCTCCTAAAGCATTATCTCATGAGCAATTCCTGTAATTCTCATGGATTTGTTTTCATCTATTAACAGATGCTTAGCTCAAGGGTCCAACTGATGCTCCTCTCTCCTCTTCCGACCCCAAAGCAGCCTTGGAGTGTTTCTGTCCAAAATAGACACAAAATAGCCACATAGAATAAGATTTAGGAGAGATGTCAGCAATTACCCCACTCAATAAACCACCTTTCTTACAGCAGTTTCAAGACACCATCAAGTTCACAGCCCCATGGTGTTGGGTACACAACAAAAAGGCACAAGAATCTGACCAGACAGGAACTCTTCCATCCTGGGTTGTCTTTGCAGTCTGTGGAGAAATGGTGTCTCTAGGACATGGTTCATCACATTCAAAATTCAATGCCTGGTACACTTTCACGTCCAGTGAATATTGGAGTCTTTTAGGAAATGGGATAGATGTTTTTTTGAAGACAGATAAGAAATGGTAATCTATGGATCAATGAAAGAGATTCCTCAATTAAGGAGTTGCTTCTGAAAACCTCAAACCATTCACTGGCAAGCAGACAAAATGAGGGAACCCAACACAATAGCTGATTTATCCCACTGAGTCTGTCTTTAATTAAAAGCAGAAGCAAAACAAGCTGTGAAAGTCTGTGTGATACTTGGTGACTTGTCATCCTTCCCTGTGCTCCTGCCACACTTCCTGTTCCTGGGTCAGGAATAAAGGTGTTTTGGTGCCAATTGCCCAGCTGCTCATGCCGTGGTGGGAGAAAACCAAAGGGAAAAAGGTTCACAGTCCAGCCCTGCTAGTATTGATGGTGATTTCCCTGATAGGATCAGTGCTGCATAGTGCCTGTAACAACCTGCTCAGGATTCTTCCCAGCCTGGGATCCTTGGCATGGAAACTGTTCAGGTATTATTTGGCTGTAGGGTTCCTCCTTTGCTCTTTTCAGCTTAGGCAGTGGTGGACAAATACCAGTGTTTGTTCTTTAGGGTGTCATCTTCCTCTGTGGTGGTGTTCACAGGGGTCCCAGGATGAGGGAAGAGATGAGAATCTTGACTCCATGTTTCAGAAGGCTGAATTATTATTTTATGACATATATTATATTAAAAGAAAATGATATATTAAAACTATACTAAAAGAATAGAAGAAAGGATTTCATCAGAAGGCTAGCAAGGAATAGAAAGGAATGAATAATAAAATTTTGTGACTGCTCACAACCTCAACACAAGTGGCTGTCATTGGTCATCAAGTAAAAACAATTTCACATGTTGGGTAAACAATTCTCCAGATCACATTCCAAAGCAGCAAAACATGGAGAAGCTGAAGCTTCTCAGGAGAAAAGATCCTGGTGAAAGGATTTTTCACAAAATATGTCTGCGACATTCCTCCATCTCCTTTCAGACAGTTTTGGAGCCTGCCTGGGTGGAAACACTAATTGTTTGGAATGATGATGATGATGATGATGATGATGATGATGATTATTATTATTATTATTATTGAGGTATTCCAATCGCTTTGCTTGCCTGCTCATGTGGGAGCAGGCTGGCCAGCAGACAAGCAGCCTGGATGCTGCCAGGCCCAAACTGAGAGTCAGAACAGGAATTTAATGTTACTTTGTGTGTCATAGCCGGTGATTGCAGCCCAGGGCTTCCCCTGGCACCCTTGCAGGCACAGGGGGCTGTAGGCTGGGTGCTGGCTGTGCTGGCTTCACCCAGTGCCCTGCAGAGCTGTCAGGCCCGGCAGCACCACACAGCAGGGGCTTGGGAAAACCCAGCAGGAATTTGCACTTGCTCACAGCTTTTTCCTTCTTCCAGGCAATGCAACAAGACTTCCAACGGGAGTGACAGCTGCGACTTGATGTGCTGTGGCAGAGGCTACAACCCCTACATGGACAAGGTGGTGGAGCGTTGCCACTGCAAATATCACTGGTGCTGCTACGTGACCTGTAAAAAGTGCGAGAGGACTGTCGAGAGATATGTGTGCAAATAAAAACTCTCCTCTGCACACCTAGGAGCTCAGGCAGCAGCAGCAGCACCCCAGAACTATTCACAGAAGACATCTCCTTGACTAGACACCATTTATCTTGTAAAGACACTGACTTGAGGAGAGATGGTAGGAGGAAAAGCAACAATCACACCAGTAAAAATAAGAACGTAAAAAAACCTCCCAAAAGGCAACAGACCCACAAATGTTTCTCCTCACCAATAAAATGCTCTCTGAGAAGACAAAACTTCATTTGGGATGGTATCTTCTTCCAAAATATTTCCTATGGTTGCCAATGATGTCCAGCCATCAAGTGCCTTAGTATTCTGAGAAATGAATATGGAAACTTCCCCTGGGGGGAAAAAAAGGCACCATTTGTTTGACAGTAACTAAGACTCACAGCAGCCTGTGCCTTCTAGCACACGTACTGAATCTCCATTAGGACCATCCCACAAGGGAAAATGCTACAACTTTTCAGCAATAACTGCCTTTGTTTCAAAGACTTAATTTTCAGCAAGGAATCATCCATTCTGAATGATAAAAAAGTGGAAAGATTTCAGGTCAATCCTCTGGAATGAACAACTAATTTTAATCTTTCTTTAACACAGGTCTGCCACTTTGAGCTGATTGCTGAAGGAAAATATATCCTTGATTCACCCAGGCTGGACAAAATTCAGCCATGAAAAAAAATCCCCTGGAATCCTGGAGGCAGTGAGAGTAGGGTAGGCTGAGAAGGACTTTATGGGGTCCACAAGATAGCAGTGGAGGCTTTAGGATAAAATAACAGAACGAAATCCAAGTCCAGTGGGAAAGTAAAGAAAAACAGCAAGCGCCTGCTCTCTATCTCTTTGCCCTTTGGGTGTGATACCCTTAGTCACTGACATTCTTCCACATTGATCTATCAAATCCTTGGGGAAATGTGCCACTGGCTTCTTCCCCCACAAAACTATTGGTCCAACCTCAGGAAACTGCAGAGAGTGGAGCAGCCCTGGCTGTAGGGAGCACATCCATGGAAGTCAGCAGCTACTGGAAGTCAGCATCCCTGGAAGTCAGCAGCTATTCACAGCAGGAAGGAACAGGAACCTGTCAGTCCTTCACCTGGCTCTGCCCTGACACAGCAGAGAACCACTATCTGTGGCTGTACATATTTTCTTTTGTATGCAGATATACAGAAATATTTATATCTTGTGCTTTCATCTACTTTACTTCCTACATAAATATATCCTTATATTATAAACAAGCATTAACAATAGTATGAAATAAATGCTGAAGTTACTGGTGCAACAGCAAAATGTTAGATTATTGTTTCACACTTCTACTTGGAAAACAATTCTGATTTTCCTCCCAAGAATGGGAAAAGAACATGGTTTGAGGCACTCACTAGCATAGGGATAAATAAGTTTCTTTATTCCCTGTCTCCCCAGCCTCTTAATGTTGAGCAGAATTAGCCAAGATACAGTCAAGAAAATGGAACATTACACTTGGAGAAAGGAAGAGTCACCATTGCTGTTTTGTTTTTTTATCAGCAATCACTCTCATTGGTAAAATTTCCCAGTGCTCCTGAGGAGCTTAATAACAAACATGGCTCACACCTCTCATGTCATGGTTGGTTGGCTTCTGGCTCCTGCACATGGAGAGGAGTTGCTGTGCAGGGGAGTTTTTAACATAGCCTAGGCTCCCTTATTTGCTTTTTTGTTTGTTATCATTTGTTGGTTTTGTTTGTTTGGGGTTTTGTTTGGGGTTTTGTTGTTGTTTGTTTGTTTTATTTGTTTGCTTGGGGTTTTGGGGGGGGATTTTTGTTTTGGTTTATTTTTAGTGGTCATCCAGCCCTGTGTACTGATTATGAAAAGTGATGTTGGAGAAGGATGCTGCTCCAGGAACAGAAGGCAGCAGAGCTTCTGATGTCTTTCAGATCATTCTTGAGTACCCCAGCCCCATACAAAATGCTGTAAGCAGCCAAAAAAATCACTCCTACACAAATGTAGAGGGACTCTGTCACTTTCCTAGGGGGGAATATGTCAGCTACACCACAATCTTTCTCCAAATCTTCTTTTTTTTCCACTTAGTCAATCTCTAGGGGGCAACTGCCTCTGACATGTGTGTGAGCAGCCCTGGGGAATTGGAAAAGCATCATGTGCTATAATAGCAAAATTAGAGGCATTTTGCTCTCTTCAGATATTTTGCTTTGCTGTAATGGGTTTGGTCTTGTTGCCTCCTTCTAGCCCCCAGTTATGAGCAGGCAAAAAAAGAGTTTTCATAGCTTGACAGTGGTTTGTGTTATTGTCACCTCATAAAAGCTGATGGACTAAAACATCTCTGCAGTGCAGTGATGAGTGGTGGGTGCCTTTAGGCTGACATGCAGACAGGCTGGTGGCACAAATCCCACTGCTCTCCAAGGCCAGAATTTGGCTTCATTTGATATGTAAAGAAACCATCCACTCTCATTCTTTTAAGGAATTTTATTTTTATTTCCAGTTTCTGATGATGCCAACAAGGCACAGATGTTCTGACTGAAGAAAAATTTGAGCATTTCAATGCCATTCTGTAATGACTCTTTTTCTTGCTCCCTTGCTGATGTCATGAGTCTTTCTGCTTGGTGAAAAACTAGTAAAAAGGAAGAAATTGTCAATGCATAACTGTTTTCAGCTGCATTTCACTCTTCCCATGTCAGACCTGTGATCCTTGACTGGCTTTCTCATGTCAGAAGAAATCATCACCTGTAATTAAAAGAAGTGAGTAAACCAATTAGGCATCTGCAGGTCTATCAGGTGGGACATGAACTCACAGCAGAACTTTAGCCATGCCACAGATGTCTGTTACTGAAGATGTTGACCTGAAATGGCTAATTGTTTGGAGTTTTGCAGTTTGGGGCAACCATGTTCAAAATCTCTGCTGGCTTCTCCAGATAATCCATCATGGGCTTCACCTGAACTTCACTTCTTTGACAAAAAAATCTGTGTGGCCCCAGCCCATGTCATAGGCTGTTAGTCTATGAATTAACAGTGTTACATTGCTTTTGCCATAACTTCTAAATTTCAGGGCCCTTTTTTCTCTGGAGCAGCTGCACGCTGCGTTAGGACCGTGCCCAGGGGGATGTACCTTCCTAAGGTGAGAATCATGCACAGGGCAAGGTCTGATAAACTGCAGCCTCCCTTGTTACACAGGCCTGCTTCATCCAGCCAACTAGGGCCATCTCAGCAGTATGATGGCTTTAAACTGAAATAAGATAGGTTTAAATCAGATGTTAGAAAGAAATTTCTCCCTGTGAGGGTGGTGAGGCCCTGGCACAGGTTGCCCAGAGGAGCTGTGGCTGCCCCATCCCTGGAAGTGTCCAAGGTCAGGGTGGACAGGGCTTGGAGCAACCTGGTCTAGAGGAAAGTGTCCCTGCCCATGGCAGGGGGTGGAACCTCTAAGGTCCACCACTTCTAAGGTCTTATGAGCTTCTAAGGTCCCTTCCACCCCAAACCATTCTGTGATTCTGTGATGTCCCTCTGGATGCTCTGGCACTTCCAATTTTTTTCAGAAAATGTCTTTCTATGAGCAGTAGACAGTACTTTCTGCTTTCCTTTCCTTTTAATAAGAACTAGGAATAAAGAGCGTACCTGCAATACAGGGCCATACCAGTGGAACCACTCCTAGTACATCTTTCTCCTTGCAACCTGTCTCTGATGCTTCACTCCTTGCATCAGCAGCAAAGTGCAGAGAGGCCAGAAAAGTGTCACATCTCTCAATTTCAATTATCAATACAACAGTGATCCAAAACAGAATGGCCAAGCTATTTCTGCAGTCTAGAGGAAGGTGTCCCTGCCCATGGCAGGGGGTTCAAACTGGATGATCTTCAAGGTCCATTCTAACCCAAATCATTCCACGATTCTATATTTTTTTTGTGCATGTGCTGTGTGAAAGATATTTGGGAGAACATTTGTCACAAACCAGCTCTGCAAGGAAAATACATTCCTCCTTCCCTTTCTCAGGCCTTCAGCAAGCAGTTTTCAAGGCTTTGCTCTGAAACACTGAGATCCTTCAGCTACTGCAGAAAACAGCTTAATTACTGTGAATGTCTTTGTCAGGTGATGCTGTAGTTCCCTTCTTATAACATGTCTTACCACATCCCAGCAGCTGATATAATTTAGCCCAACTCCATGTCATACTACATAGTACTGTTGGTTTACACTAGCTGGCAAAATACATATGATTTATTCCCACAAACACTATTATTTCACGGATTTACAATATTACCCCTGATGGAAACAGCCAAGCTATCCTGAAGAGTATTATGCTATTTTAATAATTTGAAAAAAAAATCTATGATTTAATAAAACAGTTTGGACTTAATGCTATTTTCTGATCTGAGGTTTTAGACCCTGTATACATCTGGTTGACTTTGTATTTTTTGATTAATCCCCCCCATCCTTACCCCTTCCAGTTTTATATCATTTAGGTTTCTCCATAAGGTAGGCAAATGCCATTCATGATAAAAAACTCCCATCTGATTGTGTATTTTATTCTACAAAAATAGAAAGTATCTTAATTATACTAAAGCAGGCAGCCCACAATATTTCACATGCAGCTGGAAAAGCCCTTGGTGAGGGGGAGTGAGGGAAGAAGAAAACAATCTGAATACAATTAGAAGTGTCTGTCAGGAAAGTGATAAAAGAGTCCCTGAGGGACCATCCCTCTTCCTGCTAGAAAACAGATCCCTGTAGACAGCCATTATCATCCTCCAAGTGAGACAGACTTGTGCTGCCCAGCTCTGGGCTACCTGTTTGGGGAAAGTGCTGGGAGGAGGCTCTGGAGGTACTTGGGAATATGGGAAACAAGAGGAAAATTCAGGCCTGGGATTGATTGTTGTTAGACCTTCACCCTGTGACAAAAGATTTGGCCTTCCCTGCATCAGACAGGGGGTTGTGAAACACCATTGTTTTATTCCCAAGAGCAGATTGGAGCTATAACAGGCACGACTTTCTCCCCTGCAAGGGAGATGGAGCAGAAAACAAGATTTGGGAGAGGGGGAGAAAGAACAGGAAACTTAAAATCCACCTGAGATTAATGACTTTAACATGCACAACATATTTTGTTTTGTTTTACTCTCAGGACCAGTTTCATCAGTCAGACAGAGTTTGATTAAATATCTCAGCAGAGCTTTGGTTTATTCATCTAAAGAACAAATTACCCTCTCTTCATGGAAGCAGCATTAACTGTGTTTTCTAATTGTGAGAGCAACAATAATAATAAAAATAGTAACAACAGAATACGTTGTGGATTTTTTTATTTCCTCTTTTGGTAAGAATAAATGGACAGTATTTCGTCTGTATTGTAAATTAAATTAGTTTTAATTTTTAAAGCTACTTTCTGGGCTATGTGGAAAGTTTTCTCTTTTTTGCTCTTTTAAGTGGAATTTTTCAAGGTATCTACCTGAACCACATTGTCTTGAAATTTCTTTTAAGGCAGAAGAGGGTATCACATAACTGCACAACTGCAGGAGCTGGGATATAAAGGGATATGCTGCCAGGAGTACAGAGCTTAGGAGAAAGCCACCAGATCCATAACATAGCACCAGAACCCTTGTGCTGCTGTCAGTGTAAGGATGAAATTCAGATCTAAGAATTGTCATTGGTTGAGTTACTCTGTGAAGTCTGCCCACTCTCATGATGTTACTATAAGACACGAAATAACACGACATGAACATGATGCTGTTCCCAAGGTAAAAAAAAGGAAGTTTATTTTCTGACTCCAACATTTATAGTTTTCCAAGAGTGACAGTGGATTGGAAGGTGACAGTGCCACCTCTCCAATGACACTGGACAGACCAACAGTCTATCAACTTTCTCCTCCCCCATAAAGGAATGCAAAACAATGAGTTATTTACAGAAAGTGTGTGAGAAAGTTCGTCACAAGAATGTAAATATCAGAAGGCTTAGAAAATCTCAAAAAATCAGGGCGACAGCATGACACATGACAACAACTTAAAAAGGGATGGCTCACATGCTTGAGGCTAAAGGTGTGGATAAGAGATTTCCTGTATTAGTGCCAAAGCACAAAAAACTTGGATAATCAAATCTTATAAATGCCAGGTATCAATAGATCTCTATAAGTGGTAACTGCTGACAAATGGGCTTTTAAAAATGGAGACCCATGTTTCTTTTAGATTTTCTAATTTGTTCAGTCCGGGATAAGGTCTGGAGTGTTGCTCAGTGGTGATGAATGATGAACTGGAGTAAAGATGGAACTATAAAAATTAATCCAGGTAAAGTTGGGTGCTCACAATCCTGTGTTTGTC